AAGGAAGGAGGACGGCGACGCCGACGACGACAACGACGAGGGAGGAGGGAAGACGGCGACGACGACGACGGCGACGAAATAGGACGGACGACGACGAGACGCCGACGACGGACGACGACGACGACGAGGGAGGAGGAACGACGACCACGGCGACAACGACGACGGAAACGACGACGACTCCAAGGAGGAGGGCGACGACGACGAGGAAAGACAGGACGACGACGGCGACGACGACGATGAGGAAGGAGGGAGGATGGCGACGACGACAACGACGATGCAAGAACGCGTGCGCGCACGCTTTTGTTGAAACTCCGTGTTGCGAAACCTTTTGTTTTGTATGTTTTTTGGGCACTCGATTTTGAAATCTTTCCGAAACGGAAGGTTTTTGAGGGATTTCGGCATGCGCACGCGACGACGCGCGCGCGTGCACGTCGCCCCAGTTTTGCAGCGGATTCTCGCGACGACACGCGCGAAAGGGCGATCGAACGATTTCGACGTGCGCGCAATAAAAAAGGAGAAATGTTGACGAACCAATGGTTTCCTTACGATTTCGCAAGAGCGCGCGCGTACGTGTTTTTTTTGTTACATACACACACATATATATGTATGTATGTATGTATGTATGTATGTATGTATGTATGTATGTATATATATGTATGTATATATATATATATATATATATATGGGCCGGTGCACCCACCATGACCCCCCCTTTTCTCTTGGAAGATGTCAAGAAAAAAGGGGGGCGGGTGCGGTTGGAGTTTCGGGTGTCGCGTCGTGTTGTGGTGGTAGGATTTGGAGTACATGTGTGTGTGTTGGAGACGGAGGGAGCCTGTTGAGTATCGGGTGTTGTGTTGGAGAAGGAGGCTGTTGAGTACTGGGTGTTGTGTTGGAGACGGAGGGAGTTGAGTAGAAGGTTCTTTTCAAGCTCAGCTTGGGGAGGGAGCCTGTTGAGTATCGGGTGTTGTGTTGGAGAAGGAGGCTGTTGAGTACTGGGTGTTGTGTTGGAGACGGAGGGAGTTGAGTAGAAGGTTCTTTTCAAGTTCAGCTTGGGGAGGGAGCCTGTTGAGTATCGGATGTTGTGTTGGAGAAGGAGGCTGTTGAGTACTGGGTGTTGTGTTGGAGACGGAGGGAGTTGAGTAGAAGGGAGCTCAACAAGTCTTCCCAAAAACAGCCTCAAACGTGAGTCCGAAAATCGTAGGAATCATGTATAAATTCATATATAATCATGAGAAAGGGGGGTTCTTGGTGCAGCTTGGGGAGGGAGCCTGTTGAGTATCGGGTGTTGTGTTGGAGAAGGAGGCTGTTGAGTACTGGGTGTTGTGTTGGAGACGGAGGGAGTTGAGTAGAAGGTTCTTTTCAAGTTCAGCTTGGGGAGGGAGCCTGTTGAGTATCGGGTGTTGTGTTGGAGAAGGAGGCTGTTGAGTACTGGGTGTTGTGTTGGAGACGGAGGGAGTTGAGTAGAAGGTTCTTTTCAAGTTCAGCTTGGGGAGGGAGCCTGTTGAGTATCGGGTGTTGTGTTGGAGAAGGAGGCTGTTGAGTACTGGGTGTTGTGTTGGAGACGGAGGGAGTTGAGTAGAAGGTTCTTTTCAAGTTCAGCTTGGGGAGGGAGCCTGTTGAGTATCGGGTGTTGTGTTGGAGAAGGAGGCTGTTGAGTACTGGGTGTTGTGTTGGAGACGGAGGGAGTTGAGTAGAAGGGAGCCCAAGAAGTCTTCCCAAAAAAGCCTCAAAAGTGAGTCCGAAAATCGTAGGAATCATGTATACATTCGTATATAATCATGAGAAAAAGGGGGGTTCTTGGTGGGTGCACAGGGCTATATATATGTGTGTGTATGAGTGTATATTTATATACACATATACATATATACATATATATATATATATATATATATATATATATATATGTATATATATATATATATATATAATATATAGAAACGCGACACTCTGTGGTTTTGTTTTTTTTGGAAACTCGATTTTACAACCTTTCCGAAACCGAAGGTTTTTGAAGGATTTCGGCATGCGCGCGCGACGACGCGCGCGTGTGCACTTCGCCACGCTTTTTGCAAGGGATTCTTGTTGAGAGCCTTTAATTTTTGTATAAACGAGTGTGCGCGCATAGTACTTTTTGCAGAGGGTGGCGGGGGGGGTCGATACCGGCCTGGCTGGGATGGATGAATTCACAGGTCGGATGGACGATGGGCCAGAATCATATGTATCTACATTGCAATAGGAAAGGGGAGATCGATAATTCGGGGGGGGGGTCGAATCGATTTCATGTCTGTTCGCAATGACCTGTCCACTCCACTGCGCGCGCAAACATCCCGCCCACTCGCTCGCAACTTGGCTTGCGAAGCCCATGCGGCGGCGATTGCGATGAGTGCTTGGCGTTGGCTGGTGCATCTCTGCGGCCGCGCTGGCCCGCGCACGCGCGCGCTCGCAGCGGCCAGCTAGTTTGGCGCGACCGACGCGGCCGCGGTGGCGCTGACCGCTAGGCACATCCCAGCTGGCATTTCAGCGCGAATCGGCGACTTGGGCGGGCGCGGGAGCATAGAAACGTCGACGACGGTAGACACGATGATGATAGTACCGGTGCTGGTGACGATAATGACAGCGACGACCACACGGCCAGTGACGGCGCTGATGATGATCACGCCGACGACGATAACGGCGTCTTCGCTTCGGTGATGAAGGTTTGTAACGAATTCGACGCGCGCGCGGCCGGCGCGCGAGAGTGGCCGCATGGTATTATTTGACGCGGATCGTGCCCCCCCCAGTGCGCGCGCAAGAGCGCCCGAATGATTTCAACATGCGGCGCGGCGAGTGGCTCGTTTGACAGAGCTCAACAACGAGCGTTTGTTTTGTCAATTCGCAGGAGCGCGAACGCATTTTTTTTTTTTTTGAAAAATGATGTTGCGAAACCATGTGTTTTTATATGTTTTGTTTGGTACTCGGTTTTGAAACCCTTACGAACCCGAGAGTTTTTGACGAATCTCGGCATGCGCGCGCGACGACGCGCACGCGCGCACTTCGTCCCATTTTTTGCTGGAAGGATTCTCGCGACGGCACGCGCGCGAGGGTGTTCGAACGATTTCGACATGTGCGCGCGCGAAGCCCGTTTGAACAGGTTGAATTCGTAACAGTTTCCCGAAGAATTCGCAAGAGCGCGCGCAAGTTTTTTGAACATCTTGATTGCGAAACCACGTTTTTTGTTATGTGCATACGTTTAGCTGTTATTTGTGTGCTAAACTCTTTCTCTCTCTCTATATAGATATGTGTGTATATATGTACATTTTTTTTTGAAATGTTGTTTTTGACATCATGAAACACCGAAGATTCTTGAAGGATTTCGGCATTCGCGCGGGACAATGCGCGGGTGTGGAATTCGCTTCATTTTTGCAAGGGGCTTTTGAAAACTGAGGATCTTTGAAAAACGAGTGCGTGCGCATTGTAGTTTTGCAGAGGATGGTGGTGGTGGGGGGAACGATAACGGCCCCCGTGGGATGGTGTCAATTCATATCAAAGATGGACGATGGGGCAGAATCGCATGTAAATTGCACATCCCCAGGGTGTGCCGATAGGTCTGGCTTCGGGAGGGTGGTGGGATCTGTTGTATTTTTAGACATGAATCTTAACTTTTGCTCGTAGTGAGTTGTCCACTCCACTGTTCGCGCAAATATCCCACCCGCTCGCCCGCAACTTGGTTTGCAAACCCCATGCGGCGGCGATTGCGATGATTTCTTGGCGCTGGCTGATAAGTGTATGGATATGCGTGTCTGTCTGTTGATGTGTGTGTGTGTGTGTGTCGGCGAATCCGACCTCATGCCAGTCGCACGGCGACGGCTGCGCCAATCTCCACAGCCTCGTTTATACCCCGGAGGGTTGTCTATTAGGTACATCGTATCTTTCTTCCCATCTCGCCGCCGTGCCTTGGGAGCTTCAAGGGGGTTTCAGGGGAGCATTTTGGGCCCCCAGGGGGCTTCCAGGGAACTTGCGGGAGGGAGCTTTCGTAGGGCCTTCAGAGGTCTCCGCGGTGTCTTGGTGTCGTCGTGCGCGGGAACAGGCCTGGGCACTTGGCCCGGCGCACCCTTTGAGGGTGCGCTTTGTGAGGTCAACATTGGCGGATCTATCATGCACAGCGGCGTGAGCTTCGGGGCACTCCACCGCGTGCTCAAGGCACGGTGGCGTATCGTTCTCCTGCTGTGAGCTGTGGCGCGTTCCGGGCCCCTCCGCGGCAAGTCTTGCGTAAGGCCTGAGGCTGTGGTGATTTCCTCGTCCTTCCCCTTCCCCAGCCACCGTCCACGAACAACGTGCGAAACTGATCTCTGCTCTAGCAGCCTGTTCAAACCGATTCGGGCCTTCGGTGTGTGGCACCGTCGAAAGGTGCTCCAGGCCTGCTGTGGGAGATGTCTTGGCCTCCTGGTGCCTTGCCTGGGGGCTTCCCGTGCGCTTCTAAATCAGCGGCCTCTCGCTCTGTCAGGGCCTCTGGGGGACATGCAGCCATGGGCCTCTGGGGCCCTGTCAGGGCCTCTGGGGCCCTTGGCCCTCGTCATGGGAAGATCTCACTGCACCCTGCAGCCATTTTCGGAGCGGCCCTGCTCCAGCTTTGAAGCCTCTCGGGGATCCAGGGGAGCGCTAGGTACCGATTCGCAGGGGGGAGGCCAACCATCGCAGACCCCAAGAGCGTTTGCTGTCTTGTTTCGATTCGGGCCCGCCTCAGCGATCCCCAGTAAAGGCGCGGCTACGGCGCATCCGAGCATGCAGTGGAGGGGGAGGGGGAAGCAAGAACGGCAGCATCATCAGCGGCGGGATGGGAGGGCAGAGGCAGCACGGCTCGTTGTTCAGACAGCCAGCGGGCATCCTAACACGCCGCAGCGTATAAAGATGGCACAGTGGCGGATAGCCGTGCGTCCCGAGGGCGCCACTCGGGGGATAGCAACACGTGCATGCCAGACAGAGCGGAGGAGGTAGGCACTGGCGCAAAATTGCTCGCCCCGCAGGCTGCAGTGTTCGATGGGCATGGCCCCTTCGGCCATATAGTCTCCCACCGATGCTGCCAGACCGTGCCCTTCTACTTGTCCCAGTGCCCGCTCTTCCCACGCGACATCCCAGCTGCATTGGTCGAGGCATTCGAGGCAGCTCAGGCCGACCTCGTTGGGCATTCGCTGCAGAACGGGTGGGACGTCCAGGCTAGTGGCTCGACCGCGGTCGCCTGCCTCTGGAAAGGAAACAAGCTGTGGACGGCCAACGTGGGCGACTCGAGGTGTATAATAGGTTCGGAGGTTGACCGAAAGCTTTTGTTCGAGACAGTTGATCACAAGCCCGACGCGGTGAACGAGAGGGCGCGCATCGAAAGCAGTGGAGGCGAGGTGCGAACGAAGACTTACCCAGACGGCTGGGTCAACCACAGAATCTTTGTGAAAGGCGCCACCTACCCTGGTCTCTGCATGGCGCGCACCTTCGGAGACGAGTCTGTCAAGGCTCATGGCGTCATCGCCACGCCTGAGGTAGAGGAGGTGACACTGGACCTGAACAAGAAACCTTTTGTAATCTTGGCTAGTGATGGAGTTTGGGAGTTCATGGAGTCCGATTTCGTGATGCGGGCCATGTCCAAAAAGATCGCGACGGAAGGGCCGAACACGAGCATCCAGAAGCTGCAACGCGAGGCCCAGAAACGGTGGAGGGATGAGGAGGAGGACTACTGCGATGACATCACCTCGATGCTGATCCAACTGCGGTAGACTGCACTCTGGTCCGTGTGCCGCGGGTTCTCGGACGTCGGCGGACCGTCCCTGGAGCGGCCCGAGAGGCCAGTGCCCTCGCGCGCAGCAGTGCGGCACCAATTTTCTTATCTCGCGGCCTTCGGCCCTTCCTACCTCCAGCGCCTGGGTCGTGGACCATTCCTCCTGGGCGCCCTCTCGGGAGCCTCGTGGGGACCTGTCGGGCGCCTCTTACCGGGAGCGATACAACAGGGCGCATGTACATGAACACACAGTGGTTTCGGGAGGACGCACAAAGCGAGCGTTCGTAACATGAGGGCGTCCTACTATGGGGGCGTATTGATGTGTGTGGCTTGGCGCCCACGTTCATTTCAGGCTCCCTATCTCGAGAAGCTCTTGGGAGCCTCTGCGGGGCCTCGGCAGAGCATCACATTGTTCCAATACGTCGGACGATTCACTCAGTGCCGGTGGCACGGTGGCGGGCTTCTAATTCGATGTTGCGCCTGCTCTTTCCCACTCCTCTTCCCCTCTTGGGGGAAGGGATCGGCGTGCATGTTATTTGCTCGAGTGCCGTGGTCAAGCCACTGGCGCCGGGGCCACTGAGCCCCGCTCTCTTCGGCTATGCGTGGGAGTGACCCTTCGCCGTAGTGACCTGTGGTGCGCGGCTTTTGGGGGGCGCTGCGGGGCCAAGCCCAAACACACAGGCCGTCACCGTCGCATCGCATGCTACGATCGGCAAGCCGCGCACCAAAGGTTCTTGCCTGGGGCCGCTCCTGCGTACAGCCGATGTCTTTTTCAGTTTGACTGAGATTGCGCGCGGCGTCGTCGCCGTTGCCTCTGTCGCAGCATCGAGGGCTCACCGAATTTGTGGCGACTGCTGTCGCCAAGCCAGCACGTCTGGGCTCTTTCCCTCCTGCCGCCCGCACGCTCGCGCTCCTTCTCCCTCCCCTCCCCTCCTCATCCCTCCCCCCTCCTCCCCCTCCTCCTCCTCCCTCCTCCTCCTCCCTCCTCCTCCTCCCCCTCCTCCTCCTCCTTCTCCTCCTCCTCCTTCTCCAGGCAGCCGAAGAGGGAGTGGACAGAGTGGACAGAGGCGGGCCAGCCGCAGAAGCAGGGGGAGAGAACCAGCACGACGTCCGCACATTTACGGCTCGGGCAGAGGCGGGTGGGGCGCCACGACCCACCTGCCGCTTGCGCACTGCGTGCCCGAGCCGAATTCACGCCTCCAGGCAACCGCCTGAAGTTGGAGGAGGGAGGGAGCAGGAATGGAGGAGCAGGAAGGGAGGGAGCAGGAAAGGAGGGAGCAGGAAGGGAGGAGCAGGAAGTGAGGGAACAGGAAGGGAGGGAGCAGGAAGGGAGGAGCAGGCAGGAGGGAAAGAAGCGAGGGCCGAAGGGAGTGCAGCAAACGCGGGCCGGCCAGAAGAAGTGCAGGGAAGGGGAGTGGAGAGGGGGGGCTGGAAGGGCCGGTCGTGGCCGCCGCTGCTCAGGCGCAGCCTCCAGGCCGCGGCCGCCTCGCCGCCCGTCCCCAGGCTGCCACGGCGCTTCAGCCCCGGCTGCGGGCGGCCCGTGGGTCGGCTGCTCAGCGCCTCAGGAGGCGCGGCCAGGCGCGCCGCCCGGGCGGCCACACCGAGGTGTTAACACCTCGGCGTTGGCCCGCTGCAGTGCGGCGGCCATGCTCTGGCGCGCGGCCGAGAGCACGGCCGCGTCGCCAGCTGCCCAGGTGCGCAGGAGGTCCTGCGCTTCGCGCCCCGGCCTGCCCAGCGTCTCCAGCGCGAAGGAGAAAAAACCCGCGCCGGGGCAGCGGCGGTGCTTGCGCTACTCCGCCGCTGCCGCCGCAGTCCCGTCGCGCCAAGCCCGTCCCCGACCCGCTGGCGTCGCGGCCCCGCCGGCCGCGTCTGTCGCCACGACCTCCACGTACGCGGTACCCGCCTCTGGGTCCACGTCGGTGACGTCCAGGCGCGCCGCCTCTCAGGTGGTCATCCGGGAGGACCCTGTCCCAAGCGGGGACGACCTGCTCGGCGTCCACGCCCCTCGCTCCGCGCTCGTTGAGCCAGTTCGCGAGCCAGTCGCGGAGGGCGTGGCGGCGCGGCTGCGTGCCCGCGCCGGCGTGGCAGCCCAGGGGGTGCGCTGGGGCGCGCGCAAGGTCCGCTCCGCAGAGCTGCCCGTCGGTGCGGCGGCGCTGGCAGGTGGCGCAGGCGTCCGTGGGCCTCGGCAGTTGGAGGCGCAGCGCCAGCGCCGGCCTCCTTCTCCTCCTCCTCCTCCTCCTCCTCGTCCTCCTCCTCCCCCTCCTCCCCCCTCCTACTATCCCTTCCTCCTCCCTCCTCCTCCTCCTCCTCCTCCTCCTCCTCCTCCGCAGCCGTTTTTGCTCAAACCATCTTGGCCCGAGTGAACCATCTGCCAAGGCAGCTGCGCAATGAGGACGAGACGCGCGTTTTGGTGCTAAGTAAGGAAGACTTTCTCCGAGTCGCAGGAGATACTTCGCAGTTTGCTGGACGAAGTCGCTGAGCTTAAAGTGGGGAGAGCTCTTCAATCTTATTTGCGCGGACCCGGAAAGTCCGAAGGCGTACGACAATATTTCGACTAACACATCAGACGAGGACAGTGTTCCCAAGGGTAAGCACATGAAGCGTCATACAGCCTCGTCTTCCACATCTCTCTGGATCCAGGGCTTCCCAGAAAATCTGTAAAGCTTTGAGACAAACAGCAGGCACCCAGCATGTCTGGGTAGGAGCCTGCAGTGCAGCTATATTCAGAAATCGGCCCATCATATCATGACCTATCGAATCGACAAAGCTTGGGAAGGATCCCAGTCAAACCTGAGGGATACAGTAGCACAAAGGAGGTGCAGAAACTTGGGAACGATCCCAGGCAGGATTCATTGGACATTGAACGACTTGGCACTTGGTTTACCATGGTCAGATATACCTTTATTGGCTACGTCACTTTGCCGGAAATCCGGAATACCTGTACCAGCCCTTCTTCGGCAGGCCAGCCGAAGCCCTGGGATAGGCCAAACATTAATTTAGATGCTGTAGGGGGCAGGGTTCGGCAGAACTGGGTGCAGGTTTTCCCTTCCCCTCCTCCCTCCGATCGCCCTCCGCGCACAGTGCACCGCGCCAGTCTTGCGCTGGAGAGGTTGGTCGGGACACGGGAGCGGGAGCGGGGTGCAGGGGAGAGGGGCCTGCGAGCCGGCGCCTGGCTGGGAGCCGCGTCGGGTGGCTCAAGAGCGATGGTTACTGGAGGTGTCGCCCAGCCCGAGGCTTGTCCATCGCTCCTTGCCTCCCTGCCTTCTCTCCTTCCTGTTCGCCAGAGCGGTAGCGCACATCGACCTTCCACCCCTTCCCCCTCTTCCTCTTCTCCGCACGGGGCTTGGGAACGAGCATCGGCGCAGGGGCGCAACGTTCAAGTCATGGCTTGACTTGGGTAATACCCCAGCGTTGTTCAGAGTTTCCCAGCTAGATGTAGCAGGCTTGCTGGCACTTCGCCAGGGAGCAAACGATTTCCCAGCAGAGACATCAGCTGTGTCTCTTTCAGGCCAGTTTGCAGTGGGACAAGCCTTCAGCTGAAGCGCAATCCGTTCCTCCTCCTCCTCCTCCTCTTGCTCCTCCTCCTCTTTATCCTTTCTCTCCGAGGAATCTTCTCTTCAGTCCTCCTCCCCTTCCCTCTCCCCCCACCTCCCCCTCTTCAGAGCAGGATCATTAACATTATTTCTGAGGTTTCTTTTGAATTGCAGGTGAAGTGAAACTGTCGGATGGTTGGGTGGCCAGGTGGCCAGTTGCCCAGTTGCCCAGTTGGCAAGTCGCTTGGTCGGTTGGTTGCGCGGTTGGTTGGTTCGTTGGTTGGTTCGTTGGTTGGTTCGTTGGTTGGTCGGTTGGTCGGTTGGTTGTTTGGTGGGTTGGTTGTTTTTTTGGTTCGTTGGTTTGTTGGTTGGGTGGTTGGTTGTGGTTGGTTGGTTGGTTTGTCAGTTGGTTGATTACCCAACGCTTGATCTGTCGGTTTGTCGGGTGGATGGCGGCGCGACGCGGGCACTGCACGGCACGTCATGGGTTTGCCTGGTTGGCCAGTTTTCCTGGTTGCCTCGCGGACTAATTGGTCGGTTACTTGGTTGATTGGTTTTTGGTTCGCCTATTCAATTTTTCCTCGCGTGGCAAAGCCAGAGGGCGAAAACAAATATTGATTCAGTGTACTCGTTACCTGGAGGCGCTTGGGGGTGAGAAGTACTATTTCATATTGCGTTCGCCACATGGCAGCGCAGCGGGGCAGATTTGTTTTGGTTCGCCGCGTGGCAACCCCTCAGGGGCGAAATAGACACTTTACTATTCTACTCGCCACGTGGCAACGCAGCGGGCCAGAACAAATACAAGTCTACTCTACTCGCCACATGGCAACACAGCGAGACGGACGCATGGTCGGTTGGTTGGATGGCCGGATGGCCAGTTGCCCGGTCGCCCGGTTGCGCAGTTGGTTGATTAGTTGCTTCGTTGGGCGTTCGCTTGGTCGGCTGGTTGCCCGGTTGGTCGGTCGGTTGGTTCGTCGGTTGGTCGGTTGGTCAGTTGGTTGTTTGGTTGGTTGGTTGGTCGGTTGGTCCGTTGGCTGGGTGGTTGATTGCGGTTGGTTGGTTGGTTTGTCAATGGGTTGGTCAGCCAATCGGTTGATTGGTCGGTTTTCGGGTGGTTGGCGGCGCGACGCGTGCACGACACTGCACGTCATGCTTTGGCTGGTTGGTCAGTTATCCTGGTTGCCTTGCGGACTGGTTGGTCTGTTTGTTCGGGCGGTTGGCTGGTTGGACTATTACATTCTTGTCTTCTCATGGCAGAGTGAGAGGGCGGAAACAAACAGCGTTTCAATGTACTCGTTACGTGGCAGCGCCTAGGGGGGATACACATGATTCTACATTGCATTCGCCGTGTTGCAACGCAGCTGTGCGCTTTTTGTTGTTGTGTCTGCCTCGTGGCAACCTCTCAGCGGCGAAAGACACAATACTATTCTACTCGCTACGTGGCAATACAGCGGGTTGGAACACA